GGGGGCCCAGCCACCAGCCGAGGACAGTGGCGGTGGCAGCGTGGCAGAGTGCTGGCCACGGGGCTCCCCTTCCCCGGCGCCTCCCCACCTGAGTTGGGCCAGCACCGAGGGTCCCCACAGCAAGTCCCTGGGGTGCTGTGTCCCACACAGCACGAGGACAAGGACAGACCCAGCAGAAGTGACAGCAGCTATTCCAGACAAAGTAGCAGGGGGTGTGGAGAACATCGCCCACCATCCCGGGGGGGTGCCTAGCCCCGACCGAGCAGGGGGTACACCACAAAATAGCCCAGTGTGGAGCCCGCGATGGCCCCGAGGAAGATCCAGGCGTTGTAGGACATGACGGCCAGCATCACCATGTAGCCCAGCACCACCTGCACCACGTGGAACAGCGTCTGGCCGATGTGGTACCGAAACCACCTGTGGAAGAAGATGGGAAACCCCATCAGCGAGGGGCCGGGGCAGCCGGCATCTCCCCCCTCCCCCAGCATCCCGGAGCGGCCAGAGATGGGTTTGGGGAGTGGGGAGAGGGATGGGGGCTGCAAACAGCAGCGCAGGGGGAAATCCCGCTCCAAGGGAACGGGGAGGATATTGTGAAGAGGTTGGCAGTAAGAGCAGCCTCAGGCACGGTCTGGGATTAAACACAAGAAGAAAAACCCAGGGCTTGGCTCCAATGGCTTGTGCTGGGAAGGAAACACCCGGGCCAGCCTTGCTGGGGTGCCTGAGCCGCTGCTTGTGCCCATCCCCAAATCACGAGGATCCTCCTGCACCCACAGTAGCTCCTGGGGGAATGTGAGCATTTAAGACAGCCGAAAAACACCCTGGACATCTCCCAAAGTACCTGGAGGGGCCGGGACGCCCCCGGGGCCACCTCCCGAGACTGTACACGTACCCCTTTCCTGGGAGCCTATTACTCCACAGCTGCCTCTTTCTTTACAGCCTTTCTCCCCTCCTGCGCTGGCCCAGGGGCCATACTCCCGTCCCCGAGCCCCACCGCGGCCCCACCGGCCGGGTGCAAAGGGGGCCCTGCGGTACCTGCCCTGCGCAGGGCCAGTGCCCCCCTCCTCTGGCTCCGCCAGCAACTCCCGGCTGAGGCTGCGGGGCAGAGCCAGCAGCGCCCGTCGCAGCAGCACGGCCTTGCCCATCTTGATGGCTTCGTAAAGCATCGCCAGCAGCAGGATCACCAGCACCGAGAGCGCCATCCCTGCACGAGAAACACCCTGCGGCTGCCCACCGCCACACACCGGCACGGAGCCCTTGGGGCATACCCACGGGATAAGGTGGAGGGAACGGGGGGCTCCTGGGATCAGGCTTGGGCTGGAGCGACAGGCAGCAGGCTTGTGAAGCATTGGGAAATGGTGTATTTAGCCCAATCCCCCCTCTAAATTCCTAGGGAGTATTTTTTGGAGGGGGGTGCTTTGAAAAAAATAAGCATCTTTGCATCGATTCCACAAAAATGTGGGGGTTAAAATATGATGCTGGGACAATAATTTAAAAAAAAAAAAAAAGAGTGTAAAAGAAAACGGGAAGCTGAGCCATCACTGAGTGACCTGGGGGGGGGTGGCAGGCTTGGGGGGGGG